ATGCAAAATTTGAAGCTGTGCAAAAATGATGGTGCTGCTAAGGTTGAAGATACTAAGTATAGAAGCATAGTTGGGTGCTTGTTATACTTGACTTTAACAAGGCCGAACATTATGTATGCATCAAGCTTACTCTCTAGGTTCATGAATGAACCAAGTGAGCTGTATTTGCAAGCAGCAAAAAGAGTCCTTAGGTACATTAGAGGATGTCCAGACCTAAGAATATGGTTTAAGGAAGCTAAAAAATTTCAGTTTACATGGTTTCACTGACAGTGATTGCGGTGGCTTCTTGGATGATATGAAAAGCACCTCTGGATATGTTTTTTTTTTTTTTTTTTTTTTGTGAATGTAGGTGCCATAAGTTGGAATTCAAAAAAGTAAGATGTGGTAGCACAATCAACTGCTGAAGTTGAATATGTTGCTGCTGTTGCTGCAATAAACCAGTTGGTTTGGTTGAGAAAAATTTTGAAAGACTTAAGGTTGGAACAGACTCAAGGAAATGTGTTGCATTGTGACAACCAATCAGCAATTGCTATGTCCAAGAATCTAGTACTCCATGATCGCACAAAGCATATCAGAATCAAATATCATGCAGTGAGAGAGGCAGAGCAAAATGGGGAGGTAAAGTTGATACATTGTAAGGGAGAAGAGCAAGTGACTGACATAATGACCAAATCCTTAGGCAGATCCAAGTTTGAAGAACTAAGATTCAGACTTGGAGTTTCCAGCAAAAATATCAAGGAGGAGTGTTGAAGTAAATGATATTTTGCTGGAAACCTTTTTTGCATGTTTGGTTTGTAAGTTTGGTGCCAATTTTTGAACTAAAAGGGGTTGTTTGTCAAGTGCAGTTCCTGTCCATTTTTGGAAGTGTATTTGTGTGATGTTTAGGTGAAGACAACTGGTGATTAAGGCCACAAAATCTCAATGAAATTTGTGTTTGTTAAGGGTAGTTCAAATTGTAGTATATTTAAAGATTATTTATACTAGAAGTTGTTGTAACAGTGATGTATTAGGTCCAAATATCTCTCTGTTTATGAATGAAAAATACAGCCTATTTTTGCATCAGTTTTTACTCTTCTTGTTTAGCTTTCTCTCATGCACGAAAATCCTTCTTTCTCTTAGCTTTTGAACCCTGAAAAACCTATACTAAGGAGAGATCAATGGCTGTTGGGTTGCCTTTAATTTCTATAAGCTTAATTTTAGCTGCGGTTACAGGAGTCGTTCATTTGATAAAAAGGAAAAGAAAGTTTGCTGAAGTGCTTGAAGATTGGGAGCTTGAATATGGGCCTCAAAGATTCAATTATAAAGATCTTTATTTTGCCACCAAAGGATTTAGAGAGACAGAGCTATTAGGCAACGGTGGATTTGGCAGGGTCTACAGAGGCGTACTACATAACTCTAAACTAGAGATTGCAGTAAAGAGGATCTCTCATCAATCAAGACAAGGAACGAGAGAATTTGTTGCTGAAATTGTCAGTATTGGGCACCTACATCATCGGAATTTAGTACAACTCTTGGGTTATTGTCAACGTAAAGGGGAGCTGCTTTTGGTGTATGACTACATTCCTAACGAAAGCCTCGATAGGCACCTCTATGACCAATCAACGGTCACCTTGAATTGGAGACAGAGATTCCAAGTGATCAAAGGCGTGGCATTGAGTCTGTTTTATCTTCAAGAAGGATGGGAAAAAGTTGTTATTCACAAAGATGTCAAGGCCAGTACCGTGTTACTTGATGGTGAATTTAATGGAAGGTTAGGAGACTTTGGTCTTGCGAGATTATATGACCATGGAACTGATCCACAAACTACACATGTGGTTGGAGCTCTTGGTTATCTTGCCCCTGAACACGCTCGAACTGGGAAGGCCACAAGAAGCAGTGATGTGTTTGCTTTTGGTGCCTTTCTGCTCGAAGTTGCCTGTGGCAAAAGTCCAATAGAGCCACAATCACCTACAGAGGAGACTGCGATTTTGGTTGACTGGGTATTTGGTTTTTGGAATAAAGGTGAAATAATTGAGGCAAGGGATCCGAGATTAGGAACAGATTATGTGGCTGAGGAGCTAGAGTTGGTATTGAAACTTGGGTTGATGTGCTCTCATTCAGAGGCAGTAGGTAGGCCAGGAATGCGCCAAGTTGTTGAGTAGGTGGAAAAGGATATTCCTCTTCCGGAGTTATCAACTCTTATAATTTCATCAAGTGGCATAACATTTGCCTATCGGTATGGTTTTGATGACTTTGTAGACTCATATCCATTATATATGGGTATAACCATTTCGACTATAGTTGCAGATTCAGTACTTTCAGATGACCAACGATAAGACCGATCCTGGATGATTTGAGTGTAGTCACCTCAGTACATTGCCAGGCGATGAGATTCCCAACTCTAGGCGGGGTCGCAACGGTCAGGAGCTGCAGAAAAGAATCTCAGGAGTGCTACAACTAGGCTATTAATGCTTCTTTGAAATGGCCACTCCTGAGAACCATGGTCATCACAGAGTTCGAGTCAAATCCTGGACCTCTAGAGGACACTATAGATCCTCACATCGATAAAAGAAGAGCTGCGAGAAGTATCTATCAGCGAGGAAGACATAACTTGCATACTGAAAATTGACAGCAGTCTAAGGGACGAGCTAGCAAATAATCTGGTGGGTTTCCTAAAGAAAAAACTCGATGTGTTCGCCTGGGTACATACAGATATAGTGGGGACTAGCCCCGAGGTAATGTGCCACAGATTAAATGTCAACCCAGAAGCTTGACCATTCAGACAGAAAAGGAAATCTATGGATGCAAAGTGGTCCAAAGCGCTCAAAGATGAAGTTGACAAGCTCCTGAACATTAACTTCATCAGGGAAGTGAAATACCCAGACTGACTCACCAACCCAGTCTTTGTGAAAAATTCGAATAACAAGTGGCGGACTTGTGTCGACTTCACAAATTTAAACAAAGCTTGTTCCAAAGACAATTTCCGCTACCCTGGATCGACCAATTAGTAGATGCAATAGTTGGGAACACGCTACTCAGCTTCATGGATGCATACTCAGGATATAACCAAATCCCGATGTATCAGCTTGACTAAGAACACTCTTCATTTATTACTGGATTGGGTATTTACTGTTATAGGGTTATGTCGTTTGGCTTGAAGAATGCTGGGCCGACTTACCAGCGTTTGGTGAACAAGATGTTTGCCAAGCAAATCGAGAAAACAATAGAGGTGTACATCGACGATATGTTCGTCAAATCAAAGGTCGTCGAAAGCCACATTGAGCACTTGGGAGAAATGTCTGACATCCTCAGAAAATACAAAATGAGACTCAACCTTTTGAAGTGCGCTTTCGGAGTAAGCTCGGGAAAATTTCTGGGTTTCCTTATTAATCAGCGAGGTGTCGAAGCAAACCTAGAAAAGATTATAACTCTCCTAGACATGAAAAGCTCGACTAGTATAAGGCAGGTTCAAAGCTTGATAGAGCGTGTGACTGCACTTAATAGGTTTGTTTCTCGAGCCATAGACAGGTGCCTACCATTCTTTGAAACCCTAAAGGGAAACAAGGGTTTCAAATGGATAGAGGAGTGTGAGAAAGCATTCTAGGAATTGAAAAAGCATTTGAGGCAGCCTCCTTTGCTATCAAAGACCATCTAGGGTGAGTTGTTGCTTCTATATTTATTGGTATCTAAGTCTGCGATCAGCGCAGCTTTGGTATGGAAAGAAGGGGGAGTGCAATGGTCGGTGTACTACGTGACCAAGAGGTTGCTCGACGCTGAGACAAGATACCCAAAGATAGAGAAGCTCGCTGATGCACTTGTCATCGCCGCTAGGAAGTTGCGGCCCTATTTCCAGGCGCACTCCATACATGTACTGACAAACTTCCCACTGAGAAAAATAATGCAAAAGCCCGAGGCATCATGTAGATTAATTCAGTGGACAATGGAGATGAGTCAGCATGATATCAAGTTGTTCGAAATCTCTCTTGTCGCTGTTTATGGTCTCTGGTTTATGTTTATGGTGGATTACTTTTACGTAATGCACGCTTATTTTATACTATAAAAGGGAAAATGAAATAAATCGATTGACACCTTTGAATCGGCTCTGCTGCAAATTTCATTTTCCATTTCAACTTCACCATTCTCTGTATTCACACTTGGCCTCTCTTTTCTTTCTTTTGTATTCTTCTTCAGTTTGGACGACTAATTGACCATAGATTTCTACTTTCACACCATTTATATACGTAAGCAGAGAAACGATTACATGATGTCATCACCGATTATCTAACCATAGTGAATTTTTGATTTTTTGTTGGAGTAGATTTTGGATTTGTTGATTAGTTGAAGTGGTTTGTTTAGTGTTAAAGCGTAAGAAGAAAACAGAGGGAAAATACAATACGAATTTGGATTCTGTATTTTACTAATTGAGACCATCATATATATATATATATATATATATATATATATAAAGTCAGTTTGGAGGAAAATCCTTTTTAAAAACGATGATTCTTTACCAATTAACGCCAAATGAAGGAGACAGATTTGAACTGATAATGTTGAACTTTTGAGCAGATCAGATGAGTGAGTATTTATCTTCCTGAATTACATGGGTGAAATTAACAAGTCGCATCACAAGATAAAGATTGAAGAAGACAGGCGTGATTTACCCAAATAATATTATTTGTATTTAATAATATTATTTCTAGATATACCACATTCATGGTATCACAAATCTGTATGTCAAATGCATCTTCAATGCAATGATATGCAACATATAAAGCTTGGCTTATGTTCTGTTCATGTCTAAATTTTTTTCTAACTGGCGGGCTTGAAATTAAATTCAGTTCCAATGTTTGTCAGCGTATGTGGGGACTGGGAAGGCCCACCCTGGTTGACCCAAACTCAACACGAAACCGGACTTACGGTCACCAGATGGCAACGAGAAAACAACTGGACGGTGATTGGCGCCCTCTTTTCCAAGACTCATTTCTGTTTATACACCAAATTCATCCTCGTAACATGGATTATCTCCTCTGTGGCTGTGGGCTCAAGAGGACGAACATGCACCTGCTCTTTCCATTAAAGTAACAAGCAGTGAGCAATCCCAGGGAATTCATTTGTGAACCCTATTGCCGCTTTTCATTATTATCTTACATATAATTCCCGAGAAGGAGGATCACGATTTAAGGAATTTCCTTGCCATGTTGTTCAAACTTGCGATACTGGTGTCTCTCCTAATCAGCTTAGCAGCAGGGGATGAATATCCTGGTTTCATCTACAATGGGTTCAAATCGGCTAATCTTGTCCTCGATGGTATGGCTCAGTTCACTGCAAAAGGACTTTTACAGCTTACCAATGAAACCAAAATACTAAACGGTCATGCCTTTTACCCTGAACCAATAACTTTCAAGAACTATTCAAATGGCAGAGCCTTTTCTTTCTCTACTACCTTTGTTTTCGCTATCCATCCCGTGTACCCGACTCTTGCGGGCCATGGCATGGCTTTCGTGATTGCGCCAACAAGAGGGCTCCCTGGTGCTCGTCCAAGTCAGTACCTAGGACTTTTTAATGAAAGCAACAATGGGAACGCCAGTAATCACGTTTTCGCGGTGGAATTGGATACGGTCCTGACTGGTGAGTTTTTTGATATCAATGATAACCATGTTGGGATTGATGTTAATGGACTGCACTCTGAGATATCAGCTCCAGCAGGTTATTATGATGATCAAACTGGTGACCTTAAGAACTTGACGCTTATTAGTAATCAAAGAATGCAAGTTTGGGTGGATTATAACGGTGAGGAGAAAGAAATTAATGTCAGTTTAGCGCCATTCAAAAGTGGTAAGCCAATTACGCCACTTTTGTCTTTGTCCCGTGATCTTTCCTCTGTTTTTAAAACAACCATGTTCGTTGGCTTCTCATCATCGCCCGGTTCTATGTTAACATCTCATTATGTTTTGGGCTGGAGTTTAAAGATCAATGGCCAAGCGCAGGAATTCCTCCTCTCTCAACTTCCTAAGCTTCCCAGGATCGGTCCTAAGGAGAGATCAATGTTTTTGGCTGTTGGGTTGCCTTTAATTTCTATAAGCTTAATGTTAGCTGCGGTTACGGGAGTCATTCATTTGATACAAAGGAAAAGAAAGTTCGCTGAAGTGCTTGAAGATTGGGAGCTCGAATACGGGCCTCAGAGATTCAAATACAAAGATCTTTATTTTGCCACCAAAGGGTTTAGAGAGACAGAGCTATTAGGCAGCGGTGGATTTGGTAGGGTCTACAGAGGCGTACTACACAACTCTAAACTAGAGATTGCAGTAAAGAGAATCTCTCATGAATCAAGACAAGGGATGAGAGAATTTGTTGCTGAAATTATCAGTATTGGGCACCTACGTCATCGGAATTTAGTACAACTCTTGGGTTATTGCCGGCGTAAAGGGGAGCTGCTTTTGGTGTATGACTACATGCCTAATGGAAGCCTCGACAGGTACCTCTATGACCAATCAACGGTCACCCTGAATTGGAGACAGAGATTCCAAGTGATCAAAGGGGTGGCGTTGGGTCTGTTTTATCTTCATGAAGGATGGGAAAAAGTTGTTATTCACAGAGATGTCAAGGCCAGTAATGTGTTACTTGATGGTGAATTTAATGGAAGGTTAGGAGACTTTGGTCTTGCAAGATTATATGACCATGGAACTGATCCACAAACTACACATGTGGTTGGAACTCTTGGTTATCTTGCCCCTGAACACGCTCGAACTGGGAAGGCCACAAGAAGCAGTGATGTGTTTGCTTTTGGTGCCTTTCTGCTCGAAGTTGCTTGTGGCAGAAGGCCAATAGAGCGACGAGCGCCCACAGAGGAAATGGTTTTGGTTGACTGGGTATTTGGTTTTTGGAACAAAGGTGCAATTCTTGAAGCAAAAGATCCAAAACTGGGAACAGATTATGTAGCTGAGGAATTGGAGTTGGTGTTGAAACTTGGGTTGCTGTGCTCTCATTCGGAGCCAGCAGCTAGGCCAAGCATGCGACAAGTTGTGCAATATTTGGAGAAGGATTCTCCTTTGCCAGAGTTATCAGATCTCGGAATCTCAACTAGCGGTCTAGCATTTGCTCATCGGAAAGATTTTGATGGTTTTGTCATCACAAATTCATCTTACATGGGCCCAAGAGTCTCAACTTCTATCGCAGATTCGATCCTTTCAGGTGGCAGATGATGGTTAAAAACATTAAATTATGTGAACTTCTTTGAAGCATTTTGTTATTTCCAAATATGCATGACTGCTGTAAATTCCACTATTCACTTCCACACGTCCATCAATTCTGACCTCATAGGCTCTGAATAAGGACTACCTGTCTTTGTTGAGATCAGCTGTAACACTCCAATTAATTTGGTAGGCAACCCACTTGCGTGAATGATAATGGTGAAATTACAATCTATAACAGGTGTACGGTTTACCCTTAAGTAATAAATACAATCACAAATAGATTAAACAATTTGCATTAAGAATTTAGAAAACAAAAAATTAACCTATCAGTAACTTTCATCCATAAACAGTTGACATCACTGTAAAAAACACAAACACGCCGTTGATCCCTGTTGTGTTCTATAACTGTTATATTCTACGTGAACGAAATAGAGTAATACGAAAATAAAATAAACAGTAAACAAATAAATACAAACAATAAAGAGAGAAAGTTATACGTGCGTGCCATTTATCCCGGTTCATTCAATGTTGACTACGATTAGTAGAGTCAATATTATTTAAATATTATCTCACCTCTTTCGTTTTATAATGAAGTTTGTTATCACTCGTTATAAGAGAAAAATGTGTTTAAATATTAAGTTTAAGAGACTAAACTTAATTTTAAAAGGATTCTTATTTCTAAGTACAAACCCAATAAATAATTAATAACTTAAATAAATGAGAAATCCTTCAACTTATACATGGAAATTGCCCAAGACCAAGACCGCCTACAGACTCAGGGCGTTGCCTCCACGACCCCTGGGCACTCATCGGAGAGCGAAGCCCCCACCCGTTGACCAGACAACAAGACCCTCGGATGCGTTTGCGTAACGCATGAAGGCTGAAGTGGTCCACAACTCCACCACTATGGCCTCGAGATTAATTCCACCTGATAGCGACCTGTTGACCCATGTTAACGCGAGACCGGCAAGTTGGTTTCCAACTTTCCATGTACGTTATTCACGTGTTTGGTTGACGGCCAGGACTAATATGAACGTCCGTGAGAGGAGCATGGTGTAAAAAGAATTTTAGCCATGTTTTCCAAACTTGCTATACTTGTGTCTCTTCTTCTGACTAGTGGCTTTGGAGCCACCGATGATAATTTTGCTTTTATCAACAATGGATTCCAATCAGCTAAGCCAATACTCGATGTCGATGGTATAGCCAACTTCACCGCCAATGGTCTTTTGCAGCTTACCAACGAAACCCCTGTAGAAAAGGGTCACGCCTTCTACTCTCATCCGATTTCCTTCAAGAACTAATCAAATGGCACCGCTTTCTCTTTCTCTACCACTTTTGTTTTCGCTATCCACCCTAGAATTGAGGGTCATAGCGGCCATGGTTTGGCTTTCGTCATTGCACCAACAATTGGTCTCCCACATGCTTTTCCGAGTCAGCACCTCGGCCTTTTTAACGAGAGCAACAACGGAGAAACCAGCAATCATGTGTTCGCTGTAGAACTCGATTCGATTGAGAATAAGGAGTTTAATGATATCAATGATAACCATGTAGGAATTGATATTAATGGATTGAAGTCTGAAATATCAAATTCAGCAGGTTATCATGACAATGAAACTGGTCTTTTTACGAACTTGTTGCTTGCTGGTGGTCAAAGAATGCAGGTTTGGGTGGAATATAATGGTGAGAAGCAAATTAATGTTACTTTAGCTCCATTCAACAGTGGTAAGCCCAGTAATCCACTTCTTAATTTGTCGATTGATCTTTCACCAATTTTTAACAAAATCATGTTTGTTGCTTCTCATCGTCCACTGGTTCGTTGTTAGTATCTCATTATGTTTTGGGTTGGAGTTTTAAAATGAATGGACAAGCAGAGAAACTTGCACTCTCTCAGCTTCCCCGAATTGGTCCCAAACTGAAATTAAAGTTTATGACAATTGGGCTCCCTGTAATTTTTGTAAGCTTGACTTTAGCTGCAGTGTCAGGTGTGGTTTATGTGATAAGAAGGAACAGAAAGTTCGCTGAAGTGCTTGAAGATTGGGAGCTTGAATATGGGCCTCATAGATTCAAATACAAAGATCTTTATTTCGCCACCAAAGGATTTACAGAAACAGAGCTATTAGGTAGTGGTGGATTTGGCAGGGTGTACAGAGGTGTACTACCCAACTGTAAACTAGAAATTGCCGTGAAGAGAGTCTCTCATGAATCAAGACAAGGAATGAGAGAATTTGTGGCTGAAATTGTTAGTATTGGTCACATGCGTCGCCGGAATTTAGTACCACTCTTGGGTTATTGCCGGCGTAAAGGAGAGCTGCTTTTGGTGTATGACTACATGCCTAATGGAAGCCTGGACAAGTACATCTATGACCAAACAAATGTCACACTGAATTGGAGACAACGATTTAGTGTCATCAAGGGGGTAGCTTTAGGCTTATTGTATCTACATGAAGAATGGGAACTAGTTGTCATTCACAAAGATGTGAAGGCCAGTAACGTTTTGCTTGATGGTGAATTCAATGGAAGACTAGGTGATTTTGGCCTTTCAAGATTATATGATCACGGTAGTGATCCACAAACAACTCGTGTAGTTGGAACTTTTGGATATCTTGCCCCAGAGTACACTCGTACTGGGAAGGCCAGAAAAAGCAGTGACGTGTTCGCTTTTGGTGCCTTTTTGCTTGAAGTTGCCTGTGGGAGAAGGCCAACTGAATCACGAGCGGCAACAGAAGATTGCATGATTTTGGTTGATTGGGTATTTGGTTTCTGGAGTAGAGGTGAAATTCTCGAGGCAAGAGATGTTAAATCGGTTTCTGGAGTAGAGTTATCACTATCAGCCCTTGGAATTTCAGCTAGTGGCCTAAATTTTGATCATTGGGAAGGTTTTGATGGTCTTGCGGTCTCATATCCATCTTCTATGGGCTTAACAGTGTCGACTTCTGTTACAGATCCAATACTTTCAGGTGGCATATGATCCTTTTTTAACTAACCCAATTTGGCCATATACTGCATTCTAGTTTGATACTTAGTTTTATTCCTTATTTCCTGCATATCCTTAATTTTATTATTTAATTAATTTGACACATGTGAATTTGTTATTAGTTTGTGACAGTATATCCTAGATTTTATCTTTCAAAACATTACTACTCTAATTGACTGTGGCATCGTCCACGCAAGCAAATTTTTTCACATAAAAAAAAAAAAAAAGGCGGAGTGGCGAAGTTACAGCGTTTCCAGCCACTGTTGACAAAGCGTGAGATCTGCAATTACGCGCTTCAAAAACAGAAGAGAAGTTCAAGTCCAACAGAAGCTTGATTGGTCTGGGCAACTGATGGGAGAGCGTGAGATGGATTTTGTTTAGGGTTCGTGATTGACTGGGGAAGAATAAAAAACTGGACAAAGTTTGGTTGGTGCTTAACAGTTAATGGAGAGAGTTAATTTTTTTTTTTCTTTTTGATTGTGTGGTCTACCTATTTCCAGTCTGATTTTATGTTATTTTTTTAGTTATGTAGCCCAACGCAATCAAATCGCCGGTGTAAAATAATACAGTTTTTACGCTTTCAAATAAGCTGGTGTACAAAAGAATGAAATTTCGATGCGCCGGTGAAAAAAAAAATGGAACTTCGGCGCCTTAAGCAGCACCGCTTTAAAGGAGATTATACTTTGCAATTAGGTGTATTATTTTATCTAGAGAAACATGAAGTAACGCACACCATGCATCGGGTTGTTAAAAACTTCATTTCATATACAAGTCAGGCGTCGGGATTAATCCTGTGTCTATACATGGAATGCCACCGATGCTCTGATATAGGGCACAATGGATAATACGAAAGCGTGGGAGATTGGTAAGCCTACTGAATTACTTCTCTCTGCGCGTGATCAAGTAATGAATTTACCGGCAGTGCATGGCGTCGGAGAAGGCCTTCGTTCGCATTCAGTTTTGTTATTTTTTTTTCTTTTTTTCTATACAACAAAGTAAATAACATTTAATTGTGAATATATACGACACAGGCCCGGCTCAAGGGGTAGGCAGGCGAGGCACTAGGGCCTCCCAAAAATAGGGGTCTAAATTTTTTATAATTGTTTTTTAATATATTTAAAAACGAATATGGTGTATGATTTTTTATCCAGTCCAAAAAAAAAAAAAGTTAAAAAGATCCAAATTTATTATAAACTTTTTACATATATTTCCACCCAAAGTTTGATAAAATAGCAAGTTTATACTTCTAGTTTTATATATTCCAATTTACACCCCTAAATTAACACATTGAATTTCTTTTAATGATAAAAGACTAAAATAGTCATTTACATGTCTCAAATTACTCTACCCCAATTCCATCCCAAAATTCAACATTCACATAAATCATCTTCACCCCTCTTCTGCCGCTAGCCGTTTGGAGCTGATTCAGATCAATTTTCTCACCTAAATTGACTGGAATCATCATTTTATTATTCCTCAAGTGTTTTTCCAACCTTGATAGCCCTCGATATGACACTTTTTTTACGAGTCTCATAACCCAACTTGTAATGACTGCTTTCTACTCGTGTTCTCATAAAATATGCATAGTAAAATACATGTAAAATAGCATAAAAAGTTGGGCCCAAATTTTTCTTTTATTAAACATATACATTCTTTGTACAAAACTCGTGTCATATATAAAACTATGAACAATAAGGTGGACAGTGTAGCCATTTCCCCTCGCTTGTCGACATCCATCCGACCGTGTCCTCACCTAGATCCTGCAAAAAACATAGGAAACAACAGGGTGAGCACAAAACAATGCTTAGTAAGTAAATCCTCTACTCATCTATCCCAGTAACTCTTTCCCCTCAATTCTTTCCTTACAATTCCCATTACTCTCTTTGCTTTCTCTTTTGGTTTCACTCCCTCTGTTTCTCTTTCTTTGCTATTAACTCTCTCTCTAGCAAGTCACGACCCCATCTGACTGGAGGCACGGCTGGGACTCACTCCCACTCTCCGTGACTTTTACTCATTCTAGCCGATCGAACTCGGTTATGCATGGATTCGGAACCCTTGGCCATGTAAGTACATAAATTCTCTCTCGGGTAAACTCGGGTATAACCTTCATCCGCATGCACTCTCACGGGCTACACCACTTCTCTCTCATACTCATGCCGCTCTCTCAATGCGGCGTACATGCGGGAATACTCTACCTATTACTCACGGGTTCCCCATCGCACAACCTACTCTATTCTCTTGTCTAGCACTACTTTCTCTTTGATCTATAGTGCTCATCCTCTCTCTTTCTCTTTACTCTTAAAGTAGCTTATACTCAATTTCTCTACTCTTTCTCTACTCTCTTTTCTCTTCTCTAGTGCATAATTAATGCATATAGATTACTCATTCTCATTAATGCACTTATGAGATGCAATTATGCCATGTAGCAAAATTTAAGGCTTTCTACTCTTACTCATGCTTCTCTTGAGCATTTCATCATACAACTCATGTGCATATAAAGCTCTACTTTAACTATAATTTTTCTCTTTTCTTTAATCATCCAAAATGGGAGAGAGGCTCCCTTATACTCTCTAATTTCCCTGTCAAAGGAAAACACTTCTATAAGTTTGCTCAAAACTTCATTCCACTTCAATCAAACTCAACCCAACATCAAGCAATCTCAACACTTCTCATATTTCAGTACATGCAACAACAGTCTAAATAACATCCATCTCGTCTCAATTTCTCAACAACATACTTACACATACATAAATCTATACTCAAAAGATTTCTTGAATCTCAACTTGGTTGGATTTACTTACCTTGTGAGGAAATAGCTTCTCTAATACTTCTCCTTTCCTTTGGTAGCTTGATTTCTCTCTACAACTTTAAATAACAACCACAACATAAGACTTTAACCAAAACATAATAAAACTCTCATCTAAAGCAAGAATCCTTACCTTAGGATGCTTTAGATTAAAACTCTACTAAAAATACTCAAAAAGTCCTTAGAAATCCTTAGAAGATTGAAGGAAATTTGAGAAGAAGTAGAGAATGGAAGAGGCGGTGGAAATGGATGAAAATGAAGGGTTCTCTACACTTAACCCTTTTTAGCTCACCTTATACACAAGCATTCCCATTTTGCCCTTACTCTTTCTTGAAAATTCTATCTGTATCCTTTGATTCCTTATAAACACACCCCCATACTAACATATTTTCCATGAAGTTTCCTCACATTTTACTCCCCACTTTTCCTGCTAATTAGGGGCAGAATGGTCAAATTGCCCTTAAGGAAAAATATCTAAAACTTAATAAAAATTTTCAGCCAACCCGTCGCCGCAGAGAAGACAATTCCATCGCCGCGGCGAAACACTCCAGTAGCTACTCCGTGGGCTGCAGCACCTCTTCGCCGCGGCGAAGATTCTTCTTCGCCTCGGCGAAGCCTGTAACACAACATTTCGCCAAGTCTTCATAATTTTCAGGGCAATCACTCAACCAACCCAATACATCCATTCAACCAAGGGCCAACCAAACCAAAAATAACAACATATAAGTTTAATTGAAGCTGAATCAATGAACGTTTAAGCAATACAGCAAATCTTAACTACGTACCTCAAGTGGGGTGTTACACAACTCCACCGCACATGATAGCCATTTTAGCCTTTTTAGCATGTACCCGGCGTTGTTGGTCTTCCCCGACATCACCGTCTTCCTCCCCCCAACCCTCTCACCAAAATCCCTATCATATCTCATCTATTTACTCCGTCAATCACCGGCCACCAATACCTTTTGGGTTGCGACTTCTCAAGCCTTTTATCGCCAATTTGACATTGGAAATTACCTATTTCACCACCCATCGCTTCTCCAACATTTGCTCTCCAAAACCCCCACGAACCTGATCCCGTTAGCCTGTCGATCGTCCACTTCTCCTAGTGATTTTGCATCTCAAAAGGCAAGAAAATAAATTTGAAATAATTTTTTTAATATATGCTTATATTATTAGAAGGCCTCCAAAGTAACTATCATCTAGGGTCATAAATGTTCTTGAGACGGCCCTGATACGACAAGGTATAAATTATAAATGATTTCAATTTGGGTGACTTTAAAATATATACTATTTTCCACTAATTAATTGAAGACATGATTGGACACCTTAAGTTATCTCCTTCTATCCTGACCACGTGACATTGACAAAAGTAAAACAAATATTAACTGTTGCAATGATAAATAACAAACTTTATATTATCTTATACTTCCAACCAATGGTATTGTTTCTTGCCTATGTAGAAAAAAAAAAGAGAGAAATGATAGCCTATTCATTAATAGATATTCTAGATACAAATAAAGAAATATACTTACATGTAACAATCTTAATATATCACTTAGTTGACATATTGAGCTGTTCAATTATATAAGAGTAAACGACTTTTTCTCACCCAAATGGTAGTTTAATGATATTTTTTTACTAAAATATCATTTTATTATCTAAATTTATATTTTGTTTCTGATTATGGCATCATCGCAACCTTATATCACCACTATTCTCTTTCTCAATTATCACTTATCAAAACTCTTCAAATCCTATTGTCATCGACCCCATCAATCACCAGAAATCGAGTAATTAGGGTTTATGTAACCGTCCTTTCTAAGTCAAATTTCGATTAATGTTAACCATCAAAATACTCATTAGCCTTTTCTTTTAAAAATTCTAATAATTTTGATCGAGTTGTCTCTTTATTAGACACCGATATATAAATTTAGATAATAAAATAGTGTTTTAAAAGTTTATAAGTGAGATAAACCTCATTAACACATTATTTGGGTGGGAAAGAGTCGATGACTCATAAATCATAATAGACGGTGAACATGCTGTTGCCTTCCATGTACGTAGAAGCAAGCTAGCCGTTGAACGTGGATGTAAATATTAAATGCGCGTCAATCAATTAACGAACGTCAACACCAAAATGCCCCAAACGGTCTCCGTAGGGCAGCGTGGAAATTAAACCAAACTGATTGGTCGACATCGGTTTAAGTCTTAGTGCCCTCTTTTATACAACTCCGCCTAAAGTCTGTCTCTACAGTTCCGTAAGAAAGAAGTCATTTTAAAGCGTCTCCTCTCAGTCGAAACAGAGATGAGTGACACTGAATTCAGCAGCAATCATACGGCATTCATGTTTATGGTCGATGGGTAAGGCCGTAAGAGACTAACTAACAGTCTAACATAACATGCATATACTTTTCATTGTTATATCTTCTATATAATGCCTGTGAGAGAAGCGGACATGGTTTAAGGAATTGCCTAGCCATGTTTTTCAAACTTGCAATACTGCTGTCCTCCTTAATCATCAGCTTAACTGCAGCAGACGAAAATGTTGGTTTCATCTACAATGGGTTCAGATCGAAAAATCTCAGCCTCCATGGTATAGCTAAGTTCACTGCCAATGGAGTTTTAAAGCTCACCAACGAAACCCAAAGACAAAAGGGTCAAGCCTTCTACCCCAACCCTATATACTTCAAGACCCCAACAAATGGCACCGCTTTCTCTTTTTCTACCACTTTTGTTTTCGGTATCCAGTCTCAACATCGGATTCTTAGCGGCCATGGTATGGCTTTCGTGATTGCACCAACACTAGGGCT